CAGAAATCTAGGTCTTTCCATCTCTTGGCTCTATTCTCTTGCTGTTGGTGTCATCCTCAGACTTTTTCCATGTGGTGTCAAGGCTTTGTGGACTCCATCCCCACTCCAGACCAAAGCCATCAAGACATTGGGAAAGACAAATCCCATCACCACCAAAGGGAAGGTTTCTGGGACCTGAGGGTGGAGTTAAGCAGCCAGGTTTGGTATAAAAACCAGACATGTGGGCCTTGGGGTCTGGCTCTCTCGCATCTTGGCTCACCTCCAGCTCTCAGAGTACATTTTGGGATTCCAGATCAGCTGAACGGGTAGGACGCATTTAAGACTTTATCTCCTACTTTTCTCCCTGAGTTGTACATTTCCTCATTTCCCCTTCCCTTGTGAATAAATCTTTCATTAACTTTTTGTGTGTGCCTGCAGTGGAGTATTAAGTCCCTTTTAAGCGCACCTGTGAGGACACACAGTCAGGCAACCAGTTTTATATCAGGGCTGCCCTGTAACAAAGGTAGGCCCATAGCAAGCAGTTCCAGGCTTACCCACTCCTGAGGCATCAGTCCTGGCATCAGGACTGTTAAGGGCATCAGTGAAGGGCATCAGTCCCTTCACTCAGTAATTTCATCAAGAGTTCCAAGGTTGAACTTCACTGGCCTGACATGATTACTGCCCATTCATGAACCAGTAACAGGGCTCTGGAAAATGCAATGCTTGGATTGGCCAGGCCTGATCATGTGACAACACCGGAGGCAGAGGGTAGGGTCAGTTCCACCAGTCTAGGTCTCTGAGTGGGGGGGTGAGAGGTGGTGGACAAAGTATTCCTGCAATGGAACCCAAACTCTGTAACCCCCCAAAAGGAAATGGATGCCAGCCTGGGAGAAACCACAGCTGCTTTCTATGCATTCTTTCATTAACGTTAGCTATTATTATTGTAAAACAATAGCAGGAAGATGGAGCTGAAGTTTATTAAACACTTGGAGAGGTAGGGCAGACTTTGTGGAATATAGTAAGGTTTCAGTAAATGTTTATGTAAAGCAAAATTTACAAGGGAGTGAATAGGAGCATACATTAAGGTGTTATCTTGTTCTGTGCAGAAAATAAAGGAGTCCGAAGGAATGAGGGCACAATTTTATTGAGTCTAGGAAATGAGCCAGCAAACAAAGGATAGGGATAAATGGCACATTTCTGAAAGGAGTTCCTTAGAGACCTGACTAAGGGCTGTTTAATTAACGTATAAAGCTACTCTGGAGGAAAGCAGTGCAGAAGGAACTCTCCAAGGTTTGGTTATGACACAGAAGTCCTGAATAGTGGTAGCAAGGATGGTGGGAAGTTCTCATGAACCCGAGAAGGGGGGCAAAGAGGTAGTAACTGAGGTCTAGCCAGGAGAAGGCAAAAAGGCAATGCTAGGGATCAAATTCGAAATAATACCCATGAAATGAGCAAAGTCATGTGAGGAAAACACCTCGGATGCAGCCTAGACTGTTTCTTGAGAACTTTAGCCCAAGATAGTTCCAGACAGAAATGCTGGTGAAATACTGAGGATTGTGAAAGTAGTCTGAGGACCAAAAAAACCCATAAAAGAGTGACAAATGTATGTATGGACAAATAGGATACGTATGCAGTTCTGGTCCATTCATATTGGGCAGAGAGGAGGCCTGAGAAAGGGCAAATACAAATTTTGAAGGCGTGGTTGAAAGGATTCAGATGACAGGAATAGGGACTGTTAGGTCTGAAAGGCAAAGATTAAGCAAGAACAATGATTGAAAGACATAACACTGAGTGCAGACAAAATGCAAATTTGCTCATCAAAGGTTGAAATTCTGAGGTTGAAACTTGAGTGACATGAATTTTAATCAAGGGGAGGTCTGAGTCTCTGTTTCTCTGTGCAGTGGAGAAAATAGTGCTTAAATCACTACTGTGATGAGGACTGATTGAGATCAGTTAGGTGACAGTGTCTAACACATCTTAGGTGCAGGTGAAACTAAGCAAGCTGGAGTTCCCAGAGGATTCGCGATGACATGGGGTTGTTGGTGGCATGTGGCATCTGGAGTCTAGAGACATGAGTGTGAGCTCATGCTCCACTCCCATCTTCATTTTCCCCATCCGTTAAAGGCAGTAACAATACCTACATCACAGGGCCATGATGGCTATGAAATGAGATCCTGCATTCACTCAGCACACAAAGTTAAATACTGGGTGGGGAAAGAATGATGATAAATAAAAATCCTGTCCTCATGGAGTTTACTGCCTAGTGGGAGATAGTAATAGTGGATCATCACAAACCTGAATGACACTTACTGTGAGAGGAGTGAGAGGGCCATAAGACTTTGAAAACTGAAATACACCAAACTAATATCACTTACTATTTTACTTACATTCATCCCCTACTGCCAAGTAGCTAAAAAAATTATAGATGTGGGCCTCCCCCGTGGCACAGCGGTTGAGTGCTGGGCTGCGAAGCTGCCAGCAGCCTCTGCAGCGCTGGTTCGATCCCCAGCCACTGGCGAGGGTCCCACACGGCGCCACAGACCTCTCCTGCCACGCCTGCTGCCCTCCTCAGCAGTGTATTTCATCAGTCTGCCTGGTCTGTTCCCTGCTCTGGTTCTGGTGAATTCTCTCACCTTCCCGTGTTTCTAACTGTACCCAGTGCTTGTATAAATAAATAAATAAATCTTTAAAAAAAAATTATTGACGTACCATGCTACAATCCTGGAGGTCAGAAATCTGAGGTAGACCTTACAGGCTAGACTCAAAGGCTGCATTCCCTCTGGAATGTCCAAGAGATAACCTGTCCCTAAACCTTTCCCACCTTCTGGTACCTGCCTGCTTTCCTTGGCTCCTGGACCCATCACTCTGACTTCTCTCACATCACTTTCTCTGACTCTGACACTCGCTTTTCCTTCCTCTGTGATAATTTTTGGACTGACCCAGATAATCTAGGTTAATCTCCCCACCTCAAACTCCATAACTTAATCATCTCTCAAAGCACTTTCTGCCATGTCAGGCAACATATTCATAGGTTCTGAATATAGGGACATGGACAGTTTGGGGGGAGGAGCCCTATTTAGTCTACCATGATTACCATTACTCCCTGGACTATGTAATGAAGGAAACTACTGATCTTTAGAAAACAGTAAGCAGGCTGGGCTCCCCTTGAACACCAGCTTGCTAACGGTGTTCTATCAACTCTAGGCTTGAGGGAGGGCAGCACGGTGGGTGTCAGAAGGCTGGTTAAAGATGCTCCCTCAAGGTACTGTCATACGAATGACTCCTGTAGAGTCATAAAGGGAATGCTAGCCAGCAAGTGAGGGTCCTGGCTGCTGCCAAGTAGAAGCTCTAGACGCAACTGCCGTAAACCTCAAACTCCACCTAAATTAATGGGGATATGTAGAACTATTTGGAAAGGATGGAGTGAGGATTAATGAAAACATCATCCATGAAATTGTTAGGGGGAAAAGGCTGTCCTAAAGCTAATTCCATACAGGCTTTGTGGGCTCCACCCCCACCCCAGGCCAAAGCCAAAAGACACTGGGAACTCCAAATCCCATCACCACCAAAGGGAAGGTGGCTGGGACCTGAGGGTGGGGTTAAGCAGCCAGGTTTGGTATAAAGCCAGACACGTGGGCTTTGGAGTGAGATCCCCCATTTTGGCTCCCCGCCAGCTCGCAGCGCTTGGCCAGCTCTGAGAGTGACTTTGGGTTTCCAGGTCAGCGGATCTGGTAGGACGCATTAAAGACTTTATTTCCCTATTTTCTCCCTGAGTTGTACATTTCCTTATTTCCTTTTCCCTTGTAAATAAACCTTTTATTAACCTTTTGTGTGTGCCTGTAGTGGAGTATTCATAAGTCCCTTTGAAGCACGCGGGTGAGGACCCACAGCCAGGCAACCCGTTTTATTTTATATCAGGGTTGCCCTATAACAAAATCACCTAACACACTGTCTGGTCCGCAGTTAATGGCTATTTTGGAATGCCTCCTGAATTCATACCTCTCTCTTGCTATGGCTACTGTCTTCACCAGGCTTCTCAGAAACCTTCATTATTTGCCCATCACTCCACATGCCTCAGCCTGGCACTTAGAGAGTGGTGAGGAGCAACAGCTTTGAAACTCAGTGAACGAGCTGGTGCTAACCACTGAATCTGGAGCAAGTCTCAAGGTCTCGATTTTCTCCTCAGTACCATGGAGATAAGAATGTCTATTGAACAAGGTTGTCCTGGATTAAGGAGGTGAGAGTGCAAAGGGCTTAGCACAGGTCAGGCACAAAAATTAAGTGCTATTCTTCTCCAGGGATTGCTATCCTTTCAGCCTCCTCTTTTCCACATTCCTTCTTCAGCAACAACAGCCCATTTCCTGAGGCAGGGCTGGAATTTTTCTACTAGAGGGGCATTGTTTATAAACATTTCCCTCTGCCTCCTACATCATCAAGGTATCCTACACAGCTCATCCACGGGGTCTCATTTCTATTCTGCTCCCGGGCAACTTGTTCAAACTCTACTAATTTCTCAGTGATGACTATTTATGGGGGCCTCAATAAGGCCGTGGGTTCCTGAAGGAAGGGTGTTTTTCTGCGTAGTATTCCCCATCCTCACCTTGCCTCAATTTCCCTATTCGGAATGAGTCCACCAGACCGCAATGGCCGAAAGGGCCCTTTCAGCTCTGGCCTTTTGAACTGACAGACCAGAACAATTCAGCAGCCGGGATCTTGTCCACGACCTCGCCTGCTCCTCTCCTTCTCCAGAAGGGGAAACTGAGGGCCCGAGAGGGCCTTCACTTAACTCTCCTCCCTCCGTCTCGCCTCCGGGCCGGGGCCGCCCAGAGGGCTGCCAGTCCTGGTTTCCTAACGAGGCAAAAGGAGACTCTCGGGCGTCTCCCGGCTCGGGGCGCCGGAAACACGTGTGTGCTCACCTACGTGTACACACGTGAGCACACCTACAGCAGCAGGGGGCTGTGGGGCCGGCAGGGGGCAGCACCGGCCCGGCTTGCAATTACCCGGCGCAGCCCCGAGGGAGGAGGGCGTGCTGCAGTCCCGGCGGCCGCGGCGGCTGGAGGTGCAGCCTCCCAGGTGGGAGGCGGGGGCCGCGGGCGCAGGAACAGGCGCCTCGGGAGCGGGCGTTCGGCGGGGCCTCTCCGGGCCCCGAGCGCGGCGCGGCGAGGGGGAGCGAGCGCGCCGGGAGCACGCAGGCGCCCTGCTCCGGCTGGCCCTCGGCCGGCGCGCGGCGCGGGAGCAGCCCGCAGCCCGCCCCCCGCGGCCCCCGCAGCCCCCGGGCCGCCCGCGGCCGGCCGTCGGGAGCGGCCCCTCGGCCGGCAGCGCCGGCGGCTCGCCCGGGAGAGCGCCCCGCGGCGGGACGGCCCCCGCGCCGCCCCGCGCGCGCCCTCCCGCCCGCGGCCACTCGCAGCCGGTGCCGGCCGGGCCGGCGCGCCCCGCAGGCAGCCGGAGCGCGGCCTCGGCCTCGGCGGGAGCGAGCCCCGGGCCGCAGCCCGCGGGAGGCGGCGCGGGCGGCCGCGGGCACTGACGGCGTCGCGGGGCGCTCCCGGGCGGCGGCGCAGAGGCGGAGGCGCAGGGGGCGGAGGCAGGGGGCGCCCCCAGCCAGGATGCTGCGGTTTCTGCGCCGGACCTTTGGCCGCCGCTCCATGCAGCGCTACGCGCGGGGCGCGGCGGGGCGCGGGGCCGCCGGGCTGGGGGACGAGCGCGACGGGGGGCTGCGGGGGGGCCCGGCCTCCGCCGCCGCCTCGACGCTGCCCGCCGCGCCCGGGGGCAGCGTGTTCCCGGCCGGCGGCGGGCCCCTGCTCACGGGCGGCGCGGCGGTGCACATCTCCGCCGCCGGCGCCGCCAAGGCCACCCTCTACTGCCGCGTCTTCCTGCTCGACGGGACCGAAGTGAGCGTGGACCTGCCGGTGAGTGACGGGCCCGAACCCGGGCGCTGGCGCCCCGCGCCCCAGGGGGCGCCCCTCCCCCAGGGCGTCCCTCCGGGCTGCTCTCCCCGGGGCTCCCCGGGGATCCCCTCCCCCTTCCCGGAGCGCTCCTTAACCCTGGTTCCATCTTGGGCCACCCCGTCCGGGTCTCTTCCGGGGCCCTGCTCCTGGCTGGCGCCCCGGCCCTGGCACTTTGCGCCGCTGCCCGGCGCCTTCTCCGGCCCCCACCTCGTCCCTTGGGCCTCCGTCCCTCCCGCCCCAGCACACCCAGTCCCCCGTCCCGAGCCCCCGAGTCCCCTCCTCCCCCTGCGCGGGTGACTGGTGTTCTTCAGCCTCCCCCCCACCCCTAGGTTCCAGCCGGGGCTTTCTTGGTGCTGGATTATTGGTTAGAAAATCTGGAAGCAATGTGGGGTGCCCCCGGCTGACCCACAAACTCGTCACCGGGCCTTGGTGAGATGACAGGGAGAAGCCCTCCCCGCTTGCTGCCTGGCAGGTGCCCCAAGTTTGGGAGGGAGTCAGGGGACCATTTCTGTGCTCCCCAGATCCCCTTTCACCCCGCCCCCCTCATCTCCATCCCAAAGAGCCCACCTGGGCTGCAGCCTCGCAGGGGGTTGGGACACTTGGGAGCTAACTCTAGAATCCACTGCTGGAACCTGGCCAGCTTTGCGCTGTCTGAGCCCTAGCAGGTGCGTTGAGAGTTGGGCCCCAGGCGGCCTGTTGGCCTGGTGTGCTGGACTTTTCCCCAGGCAACGTGCGTGGGGCCTCGCGGGCACCCGAGGGCGACAGCGCTGGGGCTTGAGTCCCCTGTCACACGCCCACAGGTGGTTGCATCCCGCCTCCCTCCAATGGACGGCTAGGCTGGTCCTTCTGTCTGGGCCAGGGCGTCAGGCCACCTACTGTCTTTATAGCCTCAGGGGCCAGATCTGATCAAATCAAACCCTCACATTAATGGGGCGCCTGCTGTGCACCCAGCCTTGCAGCAGAAGGTGCCTTTGGGAATCCTTTCGTGTGACAGGGCACAGCAATGATTGAGCTTTAAAATAAATGTTACAGATCATCCCGAGGGTCTCAAGGGGAAAAAAAACAACATCCCTGGACTTTCAAAGAGAGCATTTAGGCCTCCTTGAGTGAGGAAAATTCTTTGGATTTCTTGCGAGAAGAGGATCCTGTAAGGTCTTCAGAGGGGAAAATCAGAGCCAGCCTGACCTGGAGTTTAAAGCTTCCTTGTATATGCTTAATTTTGAGAGGTTTCAATGTGTGGCTCCTCCTATGCCCCCCCCCCCTTTGTGGATCCTCATTCTCTGTAGATATCATTTTGTTATGATAATACCTTTGGGGGGGGGCTTTTAACTTAGGGAAAAAGGAGGCAACAGAGCAGTGCTTAGAGCTGTTGTCTTTAAAATAGCCCCAAGAATGAGGCTTCCCAAGAATGAGGCTCTCCAGCATTTAATCTGTTGGGAGAAGAGGACTGAGAGCCTGGCAGTGTGGGGAGGTGGGCAGCTTGTGTGTGGAGAGGATGTGGCGTATTTTGCTTCTGGGATCTGGGAGAGGAATGGCATCCTTGGGAACTTTGACAGTGCTCCTCGCTGATGGTTTTCTTGTCTGTTCCCCGGGGATGATTCGTTTATAAAATGTATTGCTTCTGTCAGGTTTGTGCGACAGGCTTAAGTGGTGTTTCCGGGATGAAAAAATGCAAACTGAGTAAAGTGCGTGCTTGGGGAATAGACCCAAACTTGTACTGGAACGAACCTGCAGGCAGGGGGTGCCGGCTCATGGCAGCTAGGGGAGCCAGCCCTGAGCTCAGGACCCCTTGGGAGAGGCGGAGCGTTTGAATCTGCAAAGCTTTCTTCACTTGTCAAAAGAAGGTTTTCTCATGATGGCAAATGATTTCTTGAGGTCTTTAAGATGGGGTTTATTTACGTACACATGTATATGCGTTCAGTAGAAAGGCAGATAAAAAAAACACGGGGGGCTCTGTCACGTGAACTCTCTAGGAGGAAATATGAAGAATTGCCAGTGTGCACACATCATCGATTTATTAAAGATTTATTGGGTATTAGAACTGCACCACTGTCTCCTATGCCAGTCTACCCGAATTAGCGTTTCAGTTCTGATTAATTCTGGGATTTATGAGATTAACACCAGGCGGCCAGCTCCTCATCAGCTTGTGTGTGTGCTCCTTCCTCAGACCCGTTTCACTGGGCTCACTTTTTATGTTGTCTTTTTTGACTTTTGGCCCGATTGTCATCATTCTCCTTTTCTGCCATCCTGAATTTTTACCACTTCTGGACTTGCATAGCTGCCTGTGCCTCACATATGGCTTACCTTTGTTCCCCAAGCTGGACTCTCCGTCTCAGTTGCTTCCAAAGCTCTCTGCGCACTTGCCAAGCTAACCACCGCTCCTTTGTCATGAAAACCTCTGTGTTGTTAGCTTCAGGAATTCCTTTGCTCAGCGTACTCAGTGGTTATGCATGGCCATAAACCACTTTATTAGCCCTCATCAGGATACTTATGTTCTGAAATTGCCTGGAACACACCACCCTCAGTGTGACTGTGCCTGGGGCACCTCAGCTTTCAGTTCAGTCAACATTTATGGGGCGTCTCCCATGTGCCCGGTGCTATGCTGTGGACACAGAAGTGAGTGAGAAGTGTCCTTGAGACGCCACACAGGTTGAAACATCTTTGTGTGTGTGACGCTAAGTGATGTGACAGGCTCCCCAGGGGAGGTAGGAGGGGGGAGGGCTGAACTGGAAAGACTTCCTGGAGACTTTTGATACTTGAGATTATAGGGTCTCTACTTGATTGTCCCTTGTGCATTTTTAGAATACCTGTTGTGTCAAGTCAACTTATTGGCCAAGCTACAGCCCAATTGTGATGTGTAATAAAGGGGGAGCCACTATAATGTTCTTTAGCTGTGATCCTTCTCTGGTAATGGACTTCACCCTCCTGTACCCCTGTGTATTCTCTTTTTTTTTTAAAGATTTATTTTTTATTTATGCATACAAGAACTGGGGTGTAGGCTAGACGTGCAGGGGGGTGAGAGAATTCACCAGAGACAGAGTGGGGAGCAAAACAGGCAGATCTGAAATACACTGGGGAGGGGAGCAGCGGGGGAGACAGGAAGGGTCTGCTGTGCCATATGGGTCACCTCCCTGGCTGGAATCGTTCTTAACCTTTGCTATGGAGAGTGGTCTCTCAGTCTTGGATAAAATGAATAAAAGGATCTTTCAAAGTCTACTATAACATGCGGCCTCAAGTGGACTGTACACACCCAGCATCCAGGTGAGTCCCTGGCTCACCCTACAAACCAGAATGCCACTGTGAGCCACTCCTCTTCAGAAAACCTGGCCCTGCCTTGGACGGTGACTCCCTCTCTCTAGCCTGATCCTGCCCTGCCCTGCCCAGCCTTCAGGTGTGGTCTGGTCAGAGCCGAGCAGGACTCCCTCTGCCCGCCCTAGTCCCTTTCCTTCTATTAATGCAGCTGAAGATCCCATTAGTGTGCTTGGCAGCAGCACCCACTGTTGACTCATATTAGCTCTCTGTTGACTAAATCCCTGGCATCCTTTTGCTCGTGCGGCTGTTGCTCAGCCCCTCCTCTCCCCTCCTCTGCATGCACAGTCTTCCAGCAGCTATGTGTGGAAAGCTTCAGGCTGTGTGGCTGGCTGGTTAGCTCCCACCATGCCTTGGAGGGCCAGTGTCCATACCTCAACACAGGCTCATTGTGGTGGGATGCAGCCTTGGAGCTCTTCAGAGGACCCCGGCTTTGAGTATTGCCGGCTGGCTGTGCAGCCTAGGGCAGCAATTTAAGCTCTCTGAGCATCAATTTTATGGTCTTTAAAATGGGGCTGTTCGGAGGATTGCATGACAAGAAGGCTATAAAAAGCCTCTGTAAGCAGCTGGGTGCTGAGGGTTGCTTGTAGGTTGTAATCTTAGACATGTCTTACGCCTCCTCTTTGGCCTATGGAAAGGATTTGGAAAATTTTCTAGTAAGGAACACTTGGGGAAAAAAAAAGGCTATGCCAGAAAGGCTCAATATTACTTGGGTCTCCTTTAATGAAAACTGGAAGTTGGACGTAGTATGAGAGATGCTTTTTAAGAGTTTCACTTTGATTTAGAAAAGGATCCCCACCCCAACCAAAAAAATTGCAGGTTCTTGGAATTTTAAGACTAGAACTGCTGAGCCAGCAAAATAGACACGATATAACACACACCTTATCGTGGAGTTGAAAGGGAATTTAGGCAGCGCCTGTTGTACCTGTTGTGTATGTGGGAAACTGAGGATATGCACTGATGTGGCTTTAGCCACTCAGTGGAGAGCTGGAGTGGGCTTCTTTAGGGACTCTGCTGGTCTGGTCTTTGGAGGTGAGCATGGGAAGACTGGCCCCTGTCCCACACAGGATGGTGGAGGGGAGCAGGATGTATTCCTGGCAGTTGACGGTGTAACACATTTCCCTGAAGGATGGGACTCCCTAGCATAGTGGTTCTCTAACTTCACCGTGCTTAGAATTTATGTAGGACTTTCTTTTCTCCAATTAAAATTTCCAGAATCCACCCCCCAAATTTCTGGCTATTTCAGGAAGCTGGACTTACAGGCAGCCCAGGGGATTCTGATGAAGGTGGTCCTTTCACATCCTTTGAAAATCAGAGGTGCCCTGGAATTGGGAGAACAGATGGCAGCAGCTGCACTGGTCACTAAATACTGCTGGGCCCCAGGTGATGAGTGGCTTTGAGTTGGGAGTTGACAGTTTCACACCTGAGCATTTGGGAGCCCATTTTTTTTCCAGCAGAATGGAGACTTGGCTGGAGGAGAGACTTAAGACCAATGATAAGCTGTTGCGTTAGGTAGATCAGGTGGGAGCGAGAAGGACAGAGGGTCCAGGGCAGGTGGCAGGCGGAGTTGAATATATGGACGAAGAAGGTAGAAGCATTGTGAAGTCTCTCTTGGGGGGGCAAAGGTAATCTCTCTTCAGCCTCCCTTGGGG